AATTCTTATTAATGAATTTTTCGTAATTGATATATTAGGTTATTACCTAATATATATTTCAAATGCAAATTAAAAATTTAAATTTCATGATTTTACACTCTTTTTATGAATTATGAAAATTTTATAAGATAAATTACACATTTTTTAAAGATGAAATTATATAAAAATATAATATTTTACCTTATCTCGTTATGTATTATATTATTGAAAATTTATAAACAACAAACTTATTTGGACATACACTTAAATTACACGAACATTATCTATAATCACAAGAAATTAATTTGACTATTCAAGGAGTGAAATGCGTTTCTTATTAGATTGTTTATATTAGATTGTGTATAATGAAAAATATATTCTAATTTAATATTTATAATATATATTTTATTTGTAGTAAAGATATTTTCTTTCTATTAATGAAAATAAATAATAATTATAATAATAATAAAATTAAAAATATTCAAATTAATAATATTAAAAAACAGTAGACTTTTTTAAAGAATTTTCACAATAACACTTGTAAAACTCGAAATCCGTAGGTGAAGCACCTGAAGTTCTCTAATGACCGCGATGAAGAGAAACCAGGTTAGACCTCGACCCTTACCTGACACTTTCAATCCTCGACCCTTGATGGTGCTTACTTTTTTACATTCTATCGCGGAAATGGTCAATTCTGATAGATGTAAATTTCCAAATATTTAAATTTTAAAAATCTTATAATAATAAAGTGAAATAATTGAAGTTTCACACATTACGAATTAAAATCCAATAAAAATATGAAGCCTAAGTAAATCACTAAAAAATAATGAAGTTAGTAAACGTGCATTTGAAGAATTTTCAAACAAGGAAAAATATCGACATATTTATTTTATCATTCATAAAACTAAGAAATCATATTAAATATTTTTATAAATGTTTCAAAACTAATTTTTAATTAAAAAATTGGTGTGCTAATTAAGTCTTTTAAATATGCAAATTCTACTTTGCATTAATATTATTTTTATTCTATAAAATAAATTTAATGTATGTTTTCCTATTAAATTCCAAAATTTTATTAATGTGTTTTTGAATTTTAAAATAAAATTTCAAATTTACAGTACGTATAAATTTATTTTTTAAACAAAACATTTTTTAGTAAAATTGTTAATCTTATTGTACACTCAATTATTAATTAATGAATACCCTAAAATAACATTTTTGGATATTCAAGAATATTATTCGTAATGTATGCATATATATATATATATATAAGGTAAGATATATAAGATGCAGCATTTTCTTAAATAATTCAGGCTCTTATGAATTTAAAATAATCATATAATAATTGCAATTTATTTACTATAAATTTATATTATTTATATTCTTATTACTTCATTACTCTCTGAATATATTACTCAGAATTATAATTACATCTTATTTAAAATTACACACAATACGTAGACATAAGGAATTTAATAATTTATGCATTTCTACAGTTGATTGTTATTAATAAATATAATTTTATTTAGATTTATGTCAGATTTGAACCGATTATTCTTTAAAAGTACATGCGGTAACAACTGCAGCCTCGTTTTCTCGTTTATTTATAAAACCGGCAACTTTCGCTTCGGTGACCGTTTTGTTTTACGTAAGACTCCCTCGACTAAACCAACATAAATACATCAAAATTTTTAATTTTGGTCTATGAAAGTTTGTTAAGAAATAATTTTTGCTACGGATATTTTTTTTAAATATTTCGTATAAGAAATTATAATGGATAATATATCATTGAATATGAATTACTAATTTGTATTAAATTTTTTTTTAATTAATTTAATTAATATGAGTATGATCATTCAACACATTCAGAATAAATTTTATCTCAAATGGGAAAATTTTACTATGGAATTATTTTTTATTTCAATTTGAAAATAAAATTAAAATATTGCTAATCTAAGTTTATATACTATTACTAATTATTAATCGATACTCCTAATTTATTAAAGAATATAGAATCTTATAAATATATTATACATTTTTTACTTATTCAAATAGAAAAATAAAATTATGATTAAAATATTATAAAAAAATATATTCCAAATATAATAATATACTTATTTTCTATCTCAATTAAAATTATTTTACAATATTAATCATAATAAACAGCGAGAATATATTTTTTATATACTCACTTTAGAAAATATTAAAAAATTATTTACGTTCACTGCATATTTTAAGTTGTATGAAATAATTTGAAAAAATATTGTAATTGGTCTATTTAATTTAGAATTGAACTACAAATTATATGAATACCAAATAGTTGCTCATTTTATTATTATTGAATTTATTTTCATGTTTCAAATTTATTTCTATTTGAAATGTAAAAGTGAAAATTTTATACATAAAAATTTAATTAAATAGATTTTTTTATATTTCTATAATACTTATAAAATCGAGATTTCAGAAACATATTTGATATAGGATAAGAAGTTGATTATGAATGCATTATTAAAAATAATCCTATTGTATTTCAGTAAATATAAGTTATTACTGACTATTGTATGTTATTACAACATATAAATTCATATTTCATTGTTTGATTTTTTAAAAGAAATATACTTGAATCACTAATTATCAAAATATTTAATGTATAAAACTATTTAATTTAATAGTAACTTTTAAATAATAGTGTACAGTAATTTTCTTATAATTTACGTTTTATGAGTGTGTATTATATAATATTATACTAATTTAAAATTTGAAAATAAAATATCAGTCTTACCTTCAGTTTCGACCAAAGCTGCAATGTTATAGGTTCATTTATAAGGACTATATCTTAGCATACAAATAGGCGTAGATTCAACATTTTTGAGAATATGGTTATTACATCAATATTGGTTCCGGGGACGTTCATTCCATTCCACATCGATCATCATTGCAAATTGTTTCTCATTTGGTTCGATCTCAAGTGCTATTGACAGGCTACTTGACAAGCGATGTTCGAAAATCATTTTTTCGTTCTACGTGCGTGAACACTTAGAGGAAAAGGCAATGAAAAAATGCTGTACATATTAATACATTTCATAATTTTTTATGATAAAAATCAGAATCATACTACAACAAATAATAATAGATATCTATATTTTATTTATTATTTATTTAATAAAACTTCACAAAATAAAATATTCTTTTTATTGTACATAACAAGAAATGACTATATTTTATGAAATTATATAGTTAAAAATGTATATTCATTATTATATATATATATATATATATATATATATTTATTTATTTATTTATTTTATTGGAATTATTGAAATGTATTTAAAGAAGTTCGTTATTATTATATCTGCATTCTTCGGTAATGTTTTCAATGATTTTATTTGAAAATATTTTCGTACAAATTCTTGATATGTTATTTAACACTTGAAATTTTTATGAATGATATAATACTCGTGTTTTGTGAAACAAACGATAAAAATTTTCATTAGCACATTTAATATTGACATTTGCATTTACAGGATTATCAATATTTATCTACATATCATAATTTATTATGTAATACAAAAAATTATACTTAAAATAAATTAAAGTAAATCAATATGATTTATTTTTTAAAAAATTAACGTTTTTAAAAATTCTATTATATACATAATTAAAAATTTGTTCTTATATTATTTTAATATTCATTTAGATTTTGCGATTAATTTTCTAGATCTTATGTATTTAACAAAATAATGAGATATATTTTTTTATTCAGCTTATATTATTGTATTTAAAATCTTCAAATATTAAGAATATTGTTTCCAAATAAAATTTAGATATGTACATATATAAATTGGAATTAAAATTTTTACATATATTTATTTATAAAGAAATCTTGGTAAGGATAACGAAAGGGTTGAACCCGAAAGATAAGTTAACCCTGCATTCTATGTTGTTAAAGGCCAGCCAAACACTGTTTTTGGCACGGAAAGTACTTGGCCCAGATCATATATTACATTTCGCAAATGCCATTGTATTGTAATTTAATTGTAATTATATGAAGGCGCAAGCTTGATCTTAAAGGAAGAGAAAATGAATACAAAATTTTCAACTATCAACAAAATTATCAACAATAGATTTCTTTAATTTGAAGTTAGTAACTCTATTTAAGAAATTTTTAATTTTAATATCAATGTCAATAAATTGAACAATTAATTTATACTTAATAATTATATAGATATATCCTAATATTCAACATATCTAATAAATTAAACCTGAGCATTATATATAAATAAAATAATATTGCACATAAGGTTTAAAAAATAATTTAATATGTTTTAGTAACCGAAGTTTGACCATAATTTATATCTATAAAAATATTTGCATTTATGCATTATTTGTATTATAAATATTTTTACTGTTATTAAAATATAAGCCTTTTGTTATGAAAAAATTTCCTTATATTTCAAAATTTTTAATTATGCTAAATTATATGTTTTTAGATAATTGTCCAATTTAAAGTACGAAAAATATAAATATCTTGCTGATGTCTCAAATGACTTGTAAATTGTATAAATCGCAAAGGAATAAATCAGAATCAACACAGAAAGAGTATTTAATTATTCAATAAATAATTATATAAATTTTAAAAACGAATAATTTTAGTCATATAAATGAAAAAACGCATAATAAAGACATAATCTAAATGTTAGATTAAGATAAGTTGATTTAAACTTTAAGTAATGATTTAAAATACGAATACTATTTATAAAATATTATATTTTTCTTAAAACACTTGTTATAACTTTTATTCAGGATTATACTTTGGTTATTAAATCACTGAATTTAAAATTCAAGCTTAATTTTCAGTATTATACTTAACATTCATATTTTTTTATTATGAGTATACAATCAAGTAAAAAGTAAACATAATTTAAATAAAAAAACTCTATGAAATTTAATTATAATAAAAGTAATGAATATTTTTGGAAACAAAATAGATTTTATTACAGTTATTATTATTATAGGAAGATATGGTATGTCTTTCGTGTACAGCAACAGGGGAACGAGTTTGCTTAGCAGCTGAAGGTTTTGGTAATCGTCACTGTTTTCTTGAAAATATCGCTGACAAGGTATGTACATAATAAAAAACTAATATATCTGAATATAAACTTTGAAGATAGTAATTTTATGCGACGTGAAACCATGTAACTTAATAATTTAATTTAATTTCAATGTATATATTCGATTAATTATATTAAAAATATTTATAAATTTCATTAACAAATAATACTTGTTGAATATATGTACAATATTAATTTATAAATATTTTGTTATTTATTTAATATTTTATTAAATATTATTAAGTATTATTATTGATTGTTATTAAATATTGATTAAATACAATATATTGCTCTTTAACAATGATATTTTTTTATACATACTCGTGAAACATAGTTTTCGAACTTAAGAATGAAAAAATAACTTGGTATTAAAATTTTGAATATATAAGTCATCATATTAAAATAATAGAAATATGAATTTTGCAGAACATACCACCAGATCTATCACAATGCGTCTTTGTGATCGAGCAAGCTCTATCGGTACGAGCACTACAAGAACTCGTAACTGCTGCTGGTTCTGAAACGGTAAAGTTGAATTTATGCCATTAAAGATTGGTTATTTTCCTCACAATTAACATAAGGCTATTTGAAATAAAATTAATATATGAATATGTCAAAACAAGTATATCATTAATAATAAGCAAGGTTTGCATTGAATTTCTATTATACAATATATTCTGTTGCTAATTTACAGAAAATTACGAGAAACGTTTTATAAAGTATAGATTGACAAACTATATTCATATATCAATTATATGACGCCTATTAAGAATTAGTCAGAATTTTAATTGAATTAAAATTAAAACAGATTAAAAAAAAAACATTATACTAACGTATTAAAATTTAGAAAAGTTATCCAGGATAACATAATGTAAAAAAATACTTTTATTATCCATTGTTTTACTGCAATTTAGTAGAAATAGAAAGAAATAAAGAAAGTCTTTCATTAAACATTGTATATCAATAACAAAAAATCTGGAGTTTCAAATTGATCGATTAGATATTGAGAAACTTTTTTTATTGATTTTTTATTGAGAAACCTATTTTATTGATAAGGCATTTAAATTTTCATATTTGTTAAATATTTAACACTTCTGTAACTCTTACAAGTTATAATTTCAAAAATTAAAAAATTGATTTTTAAATATATTTTAACTCTGAAAAAATTAACCAAAAATTCATCATATTATAATTCCATAGCAAAAAAACATTCGTTTCATTACAATTTGTAGATATAATATAGATACATATTTCAGTTAATAGTTCCTATTACATAAAATTAGCCACATTTTGTAAATATCAAAATATAAAGAATACAAAAAAGTTAATATAGAGAACTCATGTTGATATACTTGAGAACTTAAGCTAATAATATAAAGAAATTATGAAAAATTATAATTGATAAGTATTTAATAATCGTTATAATTTAT